CTACATTAGCATCATTGTTTTAATCTCCTTAATATGGAAAATTAGCTTCAAGTTTTTATATTATACGACAAATAAACTACAAGTTCTTGGTGAATTTTTGCATTTACAGGTTACGCTTCATTGATTTTCTTTTAATGTGCTCTCAATGTATACTGTAAAAGCAGGACTCACATTTATTTGAACTTCCAAGACTGAATGAAAAATTAGATTCTAGGGAGGGATAAGATTGCATTAATTCCAGATTCAATGGATATATTTTTTTTACCCAATAGCAAATATTATGGCCTTTAGAATATAGATTAATAATATCAGAAATGTTTAACATGAAAAGCCAGCACTAAAAGGACTTAGGAAATAGCTGTACAATGCTCTTTTATTCCTCGTTTCAGACAAGTAGTATAAAGCTCAGAATGATAACAACTTTTTAAAAGTTGCAAGCTACTTAGAGCCAGAGCCAGATCTCCTAATTCAAGGTTTAACATGCTGCTCTCAGTAACAGTTCAACTAGACAACCACTGGGGGTCTTCAGAGTAGAAATTTCAATACTTACGCATCTTTTGTGTATGTTTACAATCTCTCAGTGGTGTTTATTTCAGACTCAAAGGAATCCTGAGGGTTAGAACTACCTACAGTCATCAATTCCATCTGCACTCTTAACTATACACAGCCAGCACATCATTGTTAAGGAGAAAACTATGAACTGTGAGTTTGTCAATGCTAATTGAACAGAAAGTAGTCAATTCAGATGAGATTTAGTCTTCACACTCATTTAGTCATGCTTGTATTTTACTCATTCAACCAACATTTACTGAGMARCTACTGGATGCTAAACAATCTACTCTGTGCTTCTAGGAACAACAGAGAAAACACAGGTCAAATTCTGCACTCACAGAATTTACAATCAAGTAATTGAAGCAAAAGATATTTTTACAAGTGAATCAAATAATTTCAGTGTACCAGAGTGCTATTGAAGAAGCTAAGTTGGAGGGTAGTAAGGGGAGTTTCTATTTGTAGCAATGTGACATAGACTATGACCTCTATAATGAGAAAACGACAACCACATGAGAATCCGGACGAGTGTTCCAGGCAAAGGGAAAGGCCATGCACAAGGTAACAATGTGGGAACAAATGTGGGATTTTGCAGCACCACAGTGCACAAGAAGCAGCAAGGGGACAGAGATACATGCTGATAAAGGATTTGAATTATTTTGCCTAAGATGAGGAAGACAAATCATCAAGTAGGAAATGAGACTGAATACCCACTCTTGATTTTATYATATGTAGGTAGAACAAACCTCTGTAATAGGAAAGCACAGCAATTCAAAATCAAGTGTAATATACTTATTCCAAATTCATATGGGAAATAAAGTTGTTCAGGTAAGTGCTAAAGTGTGTCTTTGCTAATAATAAGAAAAAAAAAACAATACTTAAGGCATTTTGACCACCTGGAACTCATTACTGCATTCTGTTGAAAGCCAAATGGGTCTATAAATATACAACTGTCTGGTTTATTTTCTAAAATCTGCTACATATTAAAGTTGAACCTAATCAAATGACAAAATGTTCTTTCAATTATATGCATTTATTTTGCATTAGTGAAATCTATTTATATAATATGGGCTTCATATTTGTTATATGTAAAAACAGCATATATGTGTGTGTGTGTGTGTGTGTGTGTGTGTATAGATAAATAGATAAATAATTTATTAGTGAATTAGGTATCCATATTAGGTTAAAAGTCCATACATTTAAAAATAAAAACCATGGGTCACTTGAGATTGAAGGACATGCATCAAGCATATGAAATCCCAACTTTGCAACTAGCTGTCTGTGTTACCAAGTTTCTAATCCTCCTTGAATCTCATGTCTTTTCTCAAAAATATAGGTAAGTATGCTTTGGTATACTATGGGTGAGGAGGAAATGAACCAAGAATTTCTAAGTATCTAATGCAAAGAACAAACATAGTAAATTTCAGTGTTTTTACTCCCCCAATGTATTTTTTTAATAAGAAAGTAGTAACTACAATATGAAAAATACATTTGTCTCTTAATCAAAATTTCATGGTGCTGCTCACATAAGAGAGAAAGGTAAGACAAAGAAATGGTTTCTAAAGCTTTTTATATGTCAAATTCTAAATTAAGACCTTGTGTTTCTAATTGTTCTGCTGCCTGGAACCATCCTATTTTGACTGTTTTGCTTCTCTATAGTTTTCAGTGTGTTTCCTTCATCTCAGACACACACGTGCCCAAACACAGTAAATCACAGTTAATTGCATGTCTTAAATTAAAAGACAAAAATAATGCACAATTAATTGGGGGAAATTGTCAGTTGGCGAATGAGTCTTGCTCATTACACTCTCTGCACAGGATGTACGCCAAGTGAGCATTCCAAGCTAGAAGAATCAGCCCAAGACACCAAGGGGAGGGGCCTGGGCTCAACCCTCTGCAGAGCAGTCTGGGCGGAAGAACCAAATGCTTGTAGCACATACAGCTTTCACTACAAAGATGCTCAGTAAAGGATTGTGCCAATTAGAAGAAACGAGAATTCTCATTGATAAGGGATTGAAGATTGACTAGGTTGTGGGCAATAAGCATGACAATTCTGCCATTCTTAATAATATAAGAAAATATTCATGGCATATTCTTACATGAAAAATGCTTGAAAAACAGTATTTCATTTTTTTAAGGATAGGTAATAAACACATGAGGCTGGAAATGAGAGGAGGAGTAGAAGGGGGAGGAGAAAGGCACTGGAAAATTCATAAACAAAATTGTTAATATTGTCATTTCTGAGTTGTTCATACTTTCCAAATTTTCTAAAAAAATTGTTTAAAAATTAGATTCTAAGTTGTTTCTCAATCCAGTATTATAAAACATCAGTTTTCATGTTTTTATTAGTATATAATAATTATACATTACAGTGRGGTTCACTGACATTCATATATATACATAAAATAATTTGCTTCAATATACTCCTCAGTATTTTCCCCTCACTCCCCTCACACCCCCATTTCCTTTCCTCTACAATTCTGGTCTTTATTCTCCTAATTTACACATATATTGTTTTTCATTGCTGCATTACAACTATACATAAAAGTGGAATTCAGTGTGGTATATTCATTTTATTCTCCAGTTCTTCCCCTTCTCCTCTCTTCCTCCCTCCTTCTTGATCTCCTACCTTTCTTATACTGATCTTCCTTCTGTTTTCATCAGATCCCTCATTTTATTCTTTTTTTTCTCTCTAGCTTCTGTATATGAGGGAAAACATTTGTCCCTTAACTTTCTAAATGTGGCTTATTTCACTGAGCATGATGTTATCCAATTTTAAAGATTCATTAGAATCTTTTAAGACAAACTTACCTGGCTATTATAATATCATCATTTTAAAATTTAAAAATAATTTCCAATAAGCACATCCATACAATCCTATTGTATCCTTGGCTATACAGACAAACCAATTCTATGAAAATATATTTTAAAATTACACAAAAACATGTTCAATACAATTAAATGTCAATATAATAATTTATTACAATAAAGACCTTATAGTATATTGGCATGCCATAAAGAAATCACTGTAAGTTCCTTGTAATTTACTCACACTGACAAACCACAAAATATATTCACAGGAAAATTAATACCTCTGAATTTGAGGAAAAGTAAACCTTCTCACCCCAATGCATCTACCCTGCCATTATTTTCTACAGTATAGTAGACTTTATATCTAGCCACTTAGAATAATCTTGATGCTAAATCTAGAAACAACAACAACAACAACACACACACACACACACAAATATACAAACACAGTTTCATCATTTTTTATCAAAGTGGGTAAATACAAAATTTTTATAATATATCACTAGTAATGGTAACTTTCCCTTTATTTCACTTTTGGAAGAAAAAAAATACAAAAAGCCCAACAGAATACATTCATTCCAAAGTCATTCAACCATCTGCTAACCTTGAAATACAAAAATAATCATTTCCTGCCTTCTTTTATTTATTGGGGTTTGGACTGGGAAAAGATAATCATATATCATCAAAAGCCCATATCACATCCTCAGGCMTCTATGTCCCAAGGGTAATATTTTTATTCCATTCTTAATGGAACGATTTTCTAATCAGAATATGTATTCAAACATAATTGAGGTAATGCAATGTCAACACGTGATGCTGTCATCAAGCAACATCCCCCAGTGCTGGGAGTCAACTGAACAGAATGTCTGGTGGGAAACAGAGTCTGAGCAATGCAGCAATGTAAGCCTTGGCCAAAAAAAGGACACAAGAGTTCTGAACCCCTTCAGATGCTCAAAGCCATGTGTGGAGGAAAGTGTCTAAGCTGGAAGAGGCCAATCTTAAAACTTCTTAGGAAGGACTGACTTATAATGGGCCCATTAGAATCCCAACTTTTAAATAGAAATGTGCCTACAATTATAATGTAAAAAATATTTGATATAAAAGTCATTTTTTGAAAGGTCAAGCTGTCCCTAGATTTCTAAGTTATAAATCCTTAGGTAGCATACATTATTGATTACTATATATCCTACAATTCCCTGAAATGGCTCATTTGACTTTAAATTTCTTAAATTTTGAAAAAAAATATTTGTAATTGATGAAGTTCGGTGATGAACTATCATATCCTTCTATTTTTGAGTATACTTGATATTATCATAATAAACAGTAAAAAAAAAGATGTTCTTGAGTATATTTTATGCTCAACATTTTACTGCTATTTCCTTTGGAAACATATATTGAGATCTGATTCATGCTTATATTTATTTAAGTAAGTCTCAATAAGCAGCCTAGATTTTTTAAAAAAATCCATCCACCATTATGTTTTATGTTATATTAAAAAAGAAAAAAAAATCTTCTTTCCAGAAAAAAATTTACCATGCTCTATGATGACAGAAATGGTGCACCTAACAAATGCAGTGCCACCATCTTCCTGGCACTTTCACCGTGTGACAAAATAGACTGGTAATTAACTGCTTTCCTACCGAAATCTGCCAGCTTCAACTCCCCCGTGTCACTGATCAGAAGATTCTGTGGTTTCAGGTCTCTGTGCAAAATATAACGCTGGTGGATGTAAGACAGCCCTCGCAGCAACTGAAATAAAAACAACTGAAAAAATAGGGAGACAAAAGTTAAAACCTGAATTCAGACAAATGCCAGTTTCTATATATAGTCTGACAAATACTCGAATTTAGTGAAAATGGATACCCATCACTAAATTTTCTACCAAATTATTAAATAGAATGTACCAGGATTAGCATGTAAATCCCTAATCCATTAAGAAATAAATCTGGAAATTGCTAACAACCTATTATATCGGAGAGATCTGCATTCTCATCTATGCTCTATAAATTGAGCAAAATGTAAAAAAAATCAATTCTTTACAATATTTTATTTCTCCAGGTCTAAAATGATGTCTAAGAGAGACATCCATAATATTATAACATATAAAAGAGTACTGTTTATGTAAATGTGTACATATTTAATTCCATAGAAATGACATAAACATGGCACTCATGGATTGACCCATTAACATGCTTTAAGGAAGAGAAAGATAAGATGACTTTAAATAATTAAAACAAAAACAGTCACATGGTCCAATTAATACTCTACTGTAATTATACTGCTCTTGCACATATGGCCATAGAGATTAGGCTATTGCCTAAAGACAGACATGTACCTTCACTAATTACAGAGCAGCCCTATCCTAATGGGGGAAGAAATAGAAAACAGAGACATAAAGGATTCAAAGGCAACATTTGGGTGAAAAATAACTTAAATGATTAATGGCTTTCTCTGTGAAATTGAATCTTATCAAATGTCTATATTTTGATGTAATGTATGATGTCTATATTTTGATGTAAATGTCTATATTTTGATGTAATGTATGATGTTAGACTTCCCAGTATTCTGTTTATGAAAAAGAGATTATTGTAAAACTATGTACTTGCCAAATTATTCTAATTGACATGGTATTTTTAAAAAAATCAATCTCCTAAAACAAAAATGAAAAACCAATGTTCTTACTTCTGCCCACATAAACTTGACTACAAAGTTTATGGCGTGAGCCACCCCACTATAGGAACTGTGGCCAGAACTCAACACATGCAGACAATATGTTGATAAGTCTATATACTGGGTACTAACAAGCCAGTTTCAAAGAAGTTTTAAAGACAAAAGATAGTATAAGGATTCTGAAATACTCAAATGAAAAAGATTACCAAATCCTTGGCCCTGGGACCTAGCATTTCTGGAATGTTCTAACTAACTAGAGTCAATGAAAACAAAACAAATATATATATATATTTTTTTTTTTAAAGAGAGAGAAGAGGGAGAGAGAGAATTTTTTTTAGAGAGAGAGAGGAGAGAGAGAGAGGGAAGAGAGAATATTTTTTAATATTTATTTTTCAATTTTTGGTGGACACAACATCTTTATTTTATTTTATGTGGTGCTGAGGATCGAACCCAGCACCCCACGCATGCCAGGCAAGCGTGCTACCACTTGAGCCACATCCCCAGCCCAAGAGAGAGAATTTTTTAATATTTGTTTTTCAATTTTCGGTGGACACAACATCTTTATTTTATTTTATGTGTTGCTGAGGATTTAAACCAGCACCCCGCGCATGCCAGGCAAGCGTGTTACCGCTTGAGCCACATTCCCAGCCCAAGTAATATTTTTAAGAGGGAAAAATACCTTGAAATAATAGTAAGATTAATTCTTCACAAAACCTTTGTGTGTGACAATTTGCATACCAGGCAGTGATAGCCTGGTATTATATTTCAGAGTGTAAGTATTAGAAAGTAGAAATCTGTTCAGTTAGTCTATATTAAAATACTGACTGAAGGACTCCGGAAGCAAACATTTCTCTGGACTTCTCTTGCTCTCAATTCTTTCTGAAGAGTGGATGGAAAGATTTAAGTTAACACCAGCCTCATCCCTCACTTTTAGTCCACCCCACATCCTGAAGCTTAGAGTTTATAATATTATAAGAAAAAAAATACGTATTTAGTTTAAAAAGGAATAAAGGTGACTATTACCTCAGTGACAATTTTAATGAAGTAGGTGCTATTATTATCTCCATACTAGTGATAAGGAGACTGAGTACAGTTTCTGAAGATCACACAGCAATTAAGTGGAAGAGCCAGGGCTCAGACTTTACCACAAAGTTTATGCCCTGAACCACCCCACTATAGGAACTGTGGCCAGAAATCAATACATGCAGACAATATGTTTATATAGAAGCTACTTCCTCCAACTGCTAGGACAGAACATGGATATCTAATAGCCCAGTTTCCAAGGCTACTGAGCTGAGCACTGACTCCACATTGGTGCTCAGTCATTATAACTCTAGATTCCCTGGCTTCCAGCAACCTTCCTCCACTCCCCCCACACCCCAACATACATATACAGCTTGCTGTTTCTCAACTCTGTACTTTTGTTCTTGCTTTTAAAGCCCCCTCTCTCTCTGACATTCTAATTTCCATGTACACTTCACTCTCTCCTTAGGAATCCCTCCTTTCTGGAGCCCTCCCTAACCCTCTCTTCAGGCCCTCAGCCCCACGCCTACAGGTTGCGACAAGGTGCTTCTCTGTGCTCCCAATGCAGCTTCGCACACATCTAGCACAAATTTACCACCTTCATAAACTATGTACACAGTCAGCACTCCTGTGCCAGCAATAGGATTATTGAACTGAATTTAGAGACATCTGGATGGTGGCAGATAAAAAATAAATAAATAACAGAAAGGAAACCCAAGAATGGAATTTTCTAGAAGCTAAGGGAAGTGGGTAGATCAAGCAGTATCAAAGGACTCTTGTTTTAATACCTTTGCTAATTAGTGAAAATATATAATCCTTATGCTAATCCAGAGCTATTCAAAYCGGATATCATGTTAAAGGAGATTAGGAAAATCAGTATTAGGAAAGGATGCAAATAAACACTCCAGTTATAAGTGTACACAAGCCCCAAACATGAAAAATAGAGCCCCAACAAATTTTTAGTTCTTTGAGCAATGCAGAAAGTAAGTCAGAATAAATCTCCATAGAATATACTCACTGGGGGTTTATAAAGTACCAACCAAAGTATCACATGCTTTCATGCAAAGGGAATGCAAAGATAAATAGAAATAAGATGTGGTTCCTGGACTCGAGGAACTCACGGTGTGCTGAGTATCGCAAACATACAAACAGATCACAGACAAAGGTGATGCACAGCAAGTAAACTGAAAGCACAGAGGTATCTAATGACAATGAGGTATTAAAACTGATTCTACCATTATAGGGAGAAGAGACTGAAAAAATGGTAAACCATAAAACTTGCCACTCCAAAACAAGAATTCATTACCTGTAATATTTAAAAAGGAAACTGAAATGAGTATTCACTAGACACAGAAGTAGATATGATACATAAAACTCCTGTTGCTATACCAAGGGGAAAAATTAAGGTGACAAAACAACGAGCCATTACATAAATTCACAAGAAAAACAAATAAGACAATATATGAAACCATGAAATGATCAACTTATCATCATAAAAGCAATTAGTGATAAGGGGCATTAAAGACTTCACTATTAGAAAACTAGACACTTGACAAATAATGTTTTAACATGACTAATAGCATATTACGTAAGGGTAGGGGTAGGAAGCATTAAGGAATCAGCACCTTGCTGAATTAAATGAAATGTCCAAGTGTTCTCTTTGGAAAGGGCCATCCAGAAAACCTGAGTCTTGCTTGGGGATTTCTTCCTCTAGCTAAGCAGGCAAGAACCTAAATTTACCATCGAAATGTTTAAGAAAGCCACTTCTCTTGCTTGGGGTATAAACAACGACACAACAAGCTATACTTGGTCTTCTGTGAAAAATCAGAGGACATAATGAGAACAAATAGGACCACAAAGAGAAGGCTACACTCAGAGACAGAGTAAAAATCAGCTTTACTGTTAAAACTTGGTAAATATCTGTGGAATCTCAAGTGCTAAAAAGGAAAGAAGGGAGACCAATACTGACAAAAGGCTTAGAGCAAAGACTTTTACATACATTTCTTAACCTTTCCATCTATAATCCTGCAGTTCTGCTTTTAAACAAATGAGAAAACTAAAGCTCTAAAGGAAATGCCCTCATGGTACTCCTCCAGCACCTTGTGCTCCTAATGTCACCACATCTCCTCCGAAACAAGGTCAATGCTTGCTAAGTGCATGGAATTAAAAATATTACTGTATTATAAGGTGAACTCAAGTACACAAAGTCTCGATTAACATGTCATATAATGATTCTTGAATTCACAAATTCTTTTTTTTTTGGGGGGGGGCAGGGATTGAACCCAGGAGTACCTAGTCACTAAGCTATATCTCCATTCCTTTTTAAGTTTTCATTTAGAGACAGGGTCTCTCTGAGTTGCTTAGGGCTCCCTAAGATACTGAGAGTGGCTTTGAACTCACTATCCTCGMACTTCAGCCTCCCAAGCTGCTAGGCATGCACCACCACACACAAATTCTTGAATTTCTGTTTTTGCTATTTAAAACCTTCTTAGAAATAACTAATATGGCAGAAGGCAGCGTCATGTACTGATTGATAAATTATATTTGGAACTATCTTCCTGTCTTCTACTCTAATAGCCATGAGGTCTTCCTAAGAACAATTTGTTGCCTCAGGATATTTTACTCAATCTTTATAAAAGGAGATTCCTCCCAATCCGTCAGCATAATCACTAATGATTTATATTCTAGTTTGAGTATGTTCAACTTCTGCAATAAAAATGCCAGAGAAAAATGCCTTAGAAAGCAATGATATGAGGAGCAGGGACACTTTTGTCATCTATCTTTAGCCCAGTTGTCTTGCCGTCCCCTGCAGGATGCAGTTCCCATGCTCAGTGCCATAGCATAGTCTTCTTGGGAGAACCCATTAATACTTCATTGATTCCCTTCTGAAACTCTTTAAACTTTAAGCAGGTTGAAAAAAAAAAAAAGACAAGTTATTTCATCACAACTTTTAAGGGAAACTGCTAAAAAGAATAGATTGTTGGATTTAAAATGTTACATTTATTGCCCAAATAACTTCTGGCACAGTGAGCAAGAAGCTTCATAACCTCCCCTCCCATCCATGTCTAAAG